TGGGGGGCAGGAAGAGATTAACTAAAGAATTTATATGCATATATGCATAACCTGTGGACACAGACAATAGTGTAGTGAAGGCCTTGGGCAGGGAGTGGGTTGGGCTGGAAGGGGTCCATGGGGGAAAAAGGGGACATCTGTAATACTTTTAACAATAAAGATAAATTTAAAAAAACAAAACAAAACAAAAAACATTAACACATATTGATTGAGTGTTTAATTCAATTGTTCAAAGGTTAGATAGATAAAGAGGTTCTATCTATATGTAAAAACCTAGATGCATGGGAACATGTCCCAGAAGGGAATGTACCAAAGCCTTTCACGGTAGGAGAATTACATGTGATATTTTTCTTTTGTTCTGTTTTCTACATTTATTTTTGCAGTAGTTCTATTAATTTTAGGATAAAATAGTTGGTAAAAAAGGGGGAAAAAAAACACAGACCAATGAATACACAAGATAAGATGAGAGTGAGTAAAACCAATCGTTTTTTATATTAGCACACAATTGGACTGTGTGATGATAAAAATTAGGAGAAATTGTCACTGGCTGAGGGCGCCTGTTTAATCATGTTGAATGCTAGACTGATGCTTTTGTGACCTTTGTCTTCCTTTTAGGCCCACGTAATGTTCTCGCTATTGGTAAGTTTTATAAAGGGTTGGCTGAGAAACTCTAGCGCCTTTAACAGTAAGTATTCACTTATAATGAAGGAAATGTAAAAAGAGAGGTCAAAATAGCTTACATTGCTATTTCATTTAGAAAGGAAATAGTGATAAACTCGGGCCACGGTGTGGCAAACCTGGTATCCTCATATGCGTACAGAGTGAGTGTCTCTATCAAAGGTTGGACACTATCTTTGAACCATTAAAAATGACCCAGCATCCATCTCCTTTTATTGTAGCTGCGGAATACAACCTGGGGATATTCTTCAGGTGGTAGTCGCGCCCACTTGCACAAACTGGAAGCCACAAGGCCAATTTTCTAAGCCCATTTCTGAGATCTGAGTATGTAAGAGGAGAGTGTTATGATAGAGTTTACTTCAGAGGGAATTGCTAGAGTCTGTCCTATGGAATTGCTCTGGTGCCTTACACAAGAAACGTGCAGGGCCCTGGAGAGCTGGAGCCCAGGAGCCCAGGAGCCCTAGGGCTGTTCTCACATATTGAAAGGCTGCTATTGGACTAAAGGTTACAAAACTGCTCTGCTCACTCCTGATCTCTAACCCTGTGGAAGTAACACTAATGTGCTAGATTAAACAAGAAGCCAGGGGAAATCTTAAAGGTAAGCCTGTCGGCGTTTTTTAAACCAGAATTTAGTTACATTTTTAAAAAATCATTGGCAACCTCTTAAGAGACTAGATATTAAGATAGAGGTGAAAACCTCTGGGTTATGTTTTGCATGCACTTAATTACCTTGTTCTATTGCCTAGGTGTGTCCTTTGGTGGTGTCTTTATCGTAGCCATCATTGTTTCCTGTTGGATGATTCTAAAGCGCAGAAACAGGTCAGTATAGCCATACTGCTCTCCTAGGAAATGTCTATTACTGCACTTGCCACCTCTTGGAAGCCAAACAGAAGTAAATGAAAATCTTAAAAAAACTACTACATAGATAGATATAGTAATTCTTATAAAGAAGGCCTGTGATGTGTATTATGCATAGAGAAGTGTTCACACTAAAAGAAATATATACATGATACTAAGAATGCTTTTTCTAAAAGCTCAGAATTTTAAGAAGGATTTGAGTTTTACAAAAGAGAAAACGGGTAAAAGGAATTTTTCCAATTTCCAGCTGTTATCCCAGTTTTGCTGAGACAGTCCAGAATTCTCCCACTACACACAGACCCAGTCAGGGCACTGGAAGTTAGATAGTGTGCCCCGCTGGCACACATCTCTCAGGCTGCCAGTGTGGAAGAATTGAGGCTCTGCATTGGGTATTTTTAAATAATAAATCTTTTATTAACACCATTTACCTTTTAAACTTACAAAAACCTTTCAAAAATTAAGATCTAAATAAAGAAACATCTTTGATTAGGAAGAGAACATACACAGCTTTTGTATTAATTGTTTTAATTATAATAGAGTCAGTGAGGTCAAAGTCAGAGAAATCAATGTTATATGCTTAACTGGCAAATTCTATACCAATGAGAAACAGTTTATAAATTTAGGTGAAGTTTTCTAAACAAATTTAGTCTCCTAAAGAAGCATTACAGAAACTGAAGTTCAAACATTTCACAAATAATGCCAATGTAAAAATTTTAGAGTATCACAGCAGAAATTTTTGTCAGTAATCTAGTCATTTTCTTCCTCTCCCTTCTTTGAATTTCTTCAACTCTGTTAATTTATCTCTTACGTTCTTGGTCTCCACAACACTTCTCACCATCCCCCTCCCCTGACAATGAGCTCCTTGTGAGCAGGGACCACCTATAGGCACTCAAAATAATTTTTATTTAATGATTTTTGACCTCTACTTTGTGCAGTAGTCAACATTAATAATGAGAATAGCAAAACCTAACATGTTTGTTTACATAATGCTTTACCATTTATTGTCTTCTTTGGACCTCAAAGCAACTCTGTGAGGTAAGTAAGGACAAAAATGTGTTGTCCCAAAGCACAGAGACTCTGAGATTCACGGAAATTCAGCAACTTGCTTAAAATCATACCAGTAGGATATTGTTACGAGTTAGGGTTTTAGTCCCAATTATCTGACTCAAAATCTTGAATCCATTCATCTATTCCACTGATAATTTTAGTTGTGCATTTCTTAATCTGTATTATTGAAAATTCAGTTTCCAGAACTGCATATAGTACAAAACTGGAATATTTCCTTTTTTCCTTTCATATATACCTCCCTTCCCCACCTCTATGTGATTGGATCTGTTTTAGCTACTTGGGTATGTTGAATCAATATCTTTCTGTAAAACGGCATACAATCCCTCATAACCATGGTTAACCAACTAGATAGCCATCCATTCAACATATGCTCACTGAGGCTGTTTTCCCTCACACCCCATGCACCACTCCTCATCCCAGATGACTTTCCGGCCATTACTCACCTAACTGCTTAGTCACTGCCCCTTAGGAGCCCACCCCACAGAGCTATACAACTCTTGACTCCTCCATACATGGATCTCAAGTTTGCCCTTCCCTATCCTGTCAAAACTTTGGCCCCTGACTCACAGTCTTTGTCTCAAGCGGTGCCCTCACCTATTTCCACGAGAGGGTCAAGACTGGGTAATGCCTGGGTAATGAGGAAGCAGCGGAAAGCGGTGGAGTGAATGTGCTCTTTGCGCTTCCATTCTTAAATCCCTAACATCAATGCACACTTGAAATCTAAAGACACTGGTATGACTTAGCATTTCATTCATGTAAAATGAAGTGCTCATTAAATAACCCCCAGAGACACAGCGTAGCTTATCACATAAGACCATGGGCTTTGCAGGCACTAAGACCTGTTCACACTCACTACTAGCTGTGAAGCCCTGGGCAAGATGCTCAGTCCCTCTAAAGGTCTTTTCCTTACCTGAACAATAGGGCTACCAATAGCTTCTACCTCACCTAACACAGTGCCTCCCTTATGATGAATGTCACAGAATGTTAGCAATTGTTATTTCTACATGACTGTTATTAAGGACATTTAAAAGTGATTGACTACCTCTTAAACTGTCAGTTCTTATAAACCTTCTTGACAACTGCTACCTTCCATACTACAGGTATTTACAAAATACGGAACGTGTATCTTCACTTTGGGGGGAGCCCTGTGTAAGATTGCAGTGCAAAGCCTTTTACATTGTGAAGCTTAAATGTCACAATCTTGTAACAATATTTAAAAACCTCTATTATTTACTAATAGGGAAATGTGTTGTTTTAAGGCATGGGCACTTGTCTATAAGCAGTTTAGAGTTCTGACACAACATATAGAATGGTTTCAGCATTGTTTTCTAATCCAAGTTTTTACTTAGAAGTGTGGCTTGGTTACATTTTTCTGTTTAGAGACCTTACAAAGATCTCTGAAACCTGAAACAAATTAGGCCCTAAATTTCAAAATGAAAGCTACCAACTACCTTCTTTCAAAGCTAAAATGTGTATAATTAAGTTATTTTTCCATCTTTTTCTCCCCTGCCAATTAGCAGTAATACAGATGAAAAACCTAAAGAAGTGAATATCTGTTTACATCCCCAAGGAGGCAGCTGTGATCATGCTCAAAGTCTGCAAACAAATCAGGAACATGGCAGGTACCGAACACACAAATTGAATTTAAAATGTTTCCAACAACTCAAGTATCCAAACTGGAAACAGGATTTAAATAATTGTATTGCACCAGGTAGATCATTGATGCCAAAGACCTTCGAAAGTACTTCAGGAGGTGGTGGTGTCTTTTCTTGGATAACTGTTGTTTCCAGTGATTTGGGATGAGGACTCTATCAGAGATGTGCATAGGCACTGTTTTCAAAGCATTCCTCTATTTTTGTACATTTGTTATTGGTGGATATGGAGTTCTTGTGGTGCTGTGGGGAAAACAATTTCCTGAGGCCACCACAGGAGGGTGAGACTGCATGGAAAACTTTATTGATGATGTAAAATTAAGGGGATTCCCTTCCAAGGTCCCGTCTCTGTCTGGCTCACCATGGAAGAAGTCCAATCTTGGCTTCAGTAGGGCTAGAATTAAGGCCATTGCCCAGAGTCTCCTCTCCATATTAAAGTCCAGTCCAGTCCATCATACTGCATGCCAAGTCTGCATGGCATGGGCCACATGGCTTGTAAGGCCACATGGCTGTGAAGAGAGAACAGGCGAGGGCATGGGGTGAGTGCGGGTCATGGAGTGAGTGCTCCAGAGCACAAGAACAGAACAAGAGAGAGGGAAGTCATTGTGTGGAGATTATGTATTCCCAAGTTTTTGTAGGCTTGCATTGGGGTCCACCCCTCAGCCAATCCATTGTTCCTTGGGCTAGACTGATATGCAAGCACCTTCCTCATGTGACCCTGACTTCACTACAAATGCACCGAGCTCCCCCTTAGTTCAATCCCTTCCCCCAGTGATCTGCTGGGAATGGACAGGTGGTTCCCTGGGGAGTGTGAAACTGCAGCTTCTTGGTTAAGCTGCCCAGATGACCATGCTTATAATGTCTGGCCTCCCTTTTGCTCTCTTCCTATTATTAATATGAATAACTAGCTAATTACAACAATAACACATTGATGCTGTGAACCTTTCAGAAGTAGCAAGCTTTTCTTCCCTTGTGGAACCCAAGCATTTGCCACTTGGGTGCCCCTCCAATTCCTCCGGCCTCCCTTCAATGTACAGGATCCCTTAAGGGTCCTTGCGGGCCTCACTTGACCTCTCCCCCTGCTTTCCCACTTTCTCTGAATTCTGTTCCTCACCTGAACCCCTGACTGCTCCCTCCTTTCTGTACCCCTCCACTTGGGCTTGTTACCACGTCTTATCCCTTCATTCCCCCTGTTCCCGTAGCCCAACCCCAAGCTGTTGTGCAGTAAATGTTCAGCCGTTTGCTAAAGGCTTGGGGAGAAAAGGGAAATTACACCACAACCCACAGTGGCACACAACAGAGAAGTGAGTATTAAAAACCACTGCACTGAAAAGTAATTGATTTTGTAAATAAACTTTTACTGGAACAGAGCCACACCCCTGCAGTCTGTGCCTGCTTCCACCCTGCAGCAGCAGAGCTGAATGCAGGAGTCCCTCCCTTATCCAGGGGGCACACATTCTAAGGCCACAGTTGACTCCTAATACTGTGTGTAGTACTGAACCTAAATGTCCTGTTTTTTTCTATACATATGTACCTATGATAAAGGTTAAAGACTTTTCCGTCTTAACTATGCACTTATCACTCATTGTGGCCATGACTTTTGCAGTTTGAGGTGTGACATTAAAACTAGCTCAACTTTATTCTTCCTCCTTCATAATTTCCTAGGTAGAAGATTTGTTCTTACTGTAAATCTTAGCAACCTCAGAATATGAATTTTTTTTCTTTTCTGAAGTTGAAAACTTTCACTTTAAAGCTTCTCTTTGGTGTACCGAATTGCCAGCATCACTACTCTTGCACTTTGGGGACATTATTAGGTAGAATAAGGGTTACTTGAACACAAGCACTGTGATGCATGACAGTCCATCTGATAACCCAAGTGGCTACTCTGTGACTAGTGAGCAGGGAGCATATACATGTCGATGCACTGGAAAAAGTGTGGCTAGTGTACCAAGTGTGGGAAGTGTGGCTTCTATACGAAGGGGATATGAAAGTCATGAGTGAAAATGGTATGGTCAACTAGGAGGATATGTTTTTCTGAGGTTATTCAAATAGTTCGAAGGGAAAATAGTATTATTTCTATATTAACGCAAACACATTATAAGGAGCAGGAGGAAAATAATAGAGAAGATTTAAAGATAAAATAAGACACAGATGCTTTAAGTTAGCCTGCAAGGCTCTTGGGGTGATGTTTTTGTTTCCCTCTAATATTAGGCTACTTTAATGGAAAAGTTCTGCAAAAACTGATTCATAGTCAGCCACGCTGCCACCAAATAGAAACAGACTAAATAACCAGAGTGTGAGGGGAATGTCTGTCTTTATACAATTTTAGTTAAAATTATTCCAGAAGACTGCTTAAAATATCATTTGATTTCGCTTTATCTCTGCCAGGTTGCCTGCCTAAAACACTGCCGGCTTTCTTCCGTTCTAAGTTGCATTAACCCAGCTCAGGAGTCACTGACCCAAGAAGTTCTCTCAAATAAATCCAGTCCAAATGATGTTTCTCTTTGAACTGAAAGCACTCCCTGTCTATTCCAATTTTTAAAATAAGTTATTTTCTTTCAAGGCTAATATTGCTTATTATTGAAAGCATCGAAAATACTGAGAAAAAAGGGTGTCCCCAAAACCACATACATACTTTGACAGCTGATAACTCACTTAATTTTTACTTCTTTTCAGGTTTAACTGATTTGAAATAATGGGGTGAAGCCAGACTAAGCTTTGAACAAAGAAAGTTTATCCCAAAGTGCCACTAGACTTGCTTTTTATGGGGATACATAAAAAATAAAGTTTATGGTACAAAACAGCCGCAGGCAATGAATTGAGGGCCCACAAATACCAAACCAAATGATTCTTGATGTTTGCAACTCCATCGCTTTGCATTATCAGTCTGGACCAGAACGGTCATCAGTTTGAAAACAGGCATTGATATAAAAAATTCATTTCTGCGGACTCTTCTAAATTTTGAAAATGAACTGTATGTTAACAGAGACACTGACTTTATCATCATTCAAAGTATGTATACATTTTGGGGAGATACCCTGTATAAAAATATAAAAACTACTTGTAACACCCTCCACTCAGTGGTTAGTATTATTAAGCTACTCTGAATATTATTTTACATTTGCAGGGTTATACTTTAAGATTATATTGATGTGGTTTTGGTTTCGCCAAATGACAACCATTCTTCCCATTGTTAAAAACTGTATATAAATAGATCCCTCAGTATTCAACATTTCATTTGTTGTTTTTTTACCTATTAACTCTATTGCGTTCATTCACTTGGTCATTCATTGGTTCTCCAAACACTGAGTGGTCACTTATAATCTACCATACGTTGTGCTTGTGTGTTTTCTCTCCCATGCTAAATTAACTTATGAGTAAGGACCATATTTTTTAATTTCCTAAAATTTCTGAATATAGACTTAATCAAATGAGAAGTATTCAGTAAGTATTTGAGAATGAATTTACATAAATTTTATTTATCCTCAACTTTTTGGAAACATTCTTTTACATCAAGGTGCATCTCAGATTGTGTATATTGACTGTTGGTCACCTTTTAATAAAGAGGTAAGAATTCCTTAATAAATTTATCTCAAATTTTCATTTTAAGATTGGAATTTTGACCACAGGTGTTGTACAGGAGAAGGTTAATCATTTGTGGCAACATCTCATAGACGAGGAGTGAGTTAGAGTCTGTACCAAGCTGCGAACCTGTGCTCTCAGGCCAGGTACATGGTCAGAGAAGGTGAGAGAGGTAAGGAGGCAGACTCCAAAGATTCAGCACGTGTGGAAGAGCATGAGAACGCTCAGTGATGATGCAGGCGACATATGATGTTTGGGAACACTTGTGAGCTAAAAGAGAACAGTGATGAAGGGTCAGGTGGCGGTACTTACTGAGGGTGTCAGGTGAGCTGATGGGAGTCTGTCCCTTGGTGGAAGGACAGTTTTCCTGGCCTTAACAAAGAGAAAGGGCTTCAGCATGGCCCAGGAAACCTTTGGATACTTTGGACTATGCAATACCTCCTTTCAACCTTGGCTATAAGGGCAGGAGGACAGGCTACCTGAAGCTGACCCTCCTCCAAACTACCAGATCCTGTTTACTTTCCCTGACACAGCCAGGTTCAGAAAAGAGCCTGGAGGAAAGATTTTGTGTGTTACAGTGGATCTGTAGGTTTTCTGGAACAGGGCTCTTTTTATGTAGTTGCTCAACTCTGAGAACACTTTTCCTTTGACAAAAGAAGCAATGGGGAATGGTCGATATATTTATTAATCTCTCTTATCTACTCAGAATCTCAATTTATGTCAGACTCTCTTGTGCCCTACATAGCTACCACAACAGACGGCAATAAACACTTCTTTTAAACTTGTAATTTATTTGTGATGTCAGCATCATGATTATCAGCATATAAATTTTGGGTAGTTCAATTTTCAACCATGCTGTCATCTAAATAAAAATTCCTTTTATTTCAGTGTCCTTCCTTCACAAAATACTATAAAGCCAGAGAACAGCTTGAATTGAAATGATCGTTGGAAAGGAGTCAATTTATTTCAACAAAGGAAGATCTGAGGCTCATAAAATCCTTGAAGTGACTTCACAGAGATGCCAACATGCGCATGTGAAGAGGCTGAAGCTCTCCCAATTCCTAAGGAAGCTCCCTCCTGGTAGTTTGGACACTGTCACCCCACCTTCTTTCTTTGCGCTGAAAGCACACACTGTCCAGTCAGGAAAAGACTGCACTTAGGACATAGAAATAGTCTCAGTTGCTTAAAGGAAGAAAGTGTTGTCTAGGATTTCTGTTTACAAGTTTGTCATTTTTCTTTGTTAGTTTTAATTGTTTATATAAATGACCCTTGAACAATGTGGGGGTTAAGTGGTGCCACCTAAGTGGAAATGCTGTTTCCGAACAGCAGTTTGCTGAATCCTGAAGGCAAAAATCCCAGGATACAGAGGGCCAATGGTATAGTTATTGAAAAATATCTACATATAAGTGGACCCAGGCAGTTCAAACTCGTGTTGTTCAAGTGTTAACTGTACTGTGGAATGAACTCATTAAAGAGAATTTGGAAAATGCAGGAGGAATATATGAAAAACAAATGAGTCACATATAATTATATTACCCAATGATAACCACTGTTAATGTTTTAATACACTTTCTGTTCATCTTTCTTCATATATATGTCTTTATACATACATATCTTTCTTGCTTAAATACATTGTTTTTTGTTTATAGAGGAATCCATTCCTTTTAGACATATTAGAGTAAAATATATCAGTTATCACTTTCTCAAAGAAAAATAAGTAATTTCTGTTTATTAAAAAGTCATTACATGATTACAGGGAAGATGGGTTAAGAATATTCAAGAGAAATATTTGAGTGAAAAAATAAGCTTTGGATATTTTCTAAGCTCTTTTTCAAAAGTACTTTGTACTATGTTCTGTTTAAAAAAACAAACTTAGATTTTAATAAAAGGAAATTTTTTATATAAAAGTAACTAGCTTACTTTTGAATAGATTCAGAATACACTAAATTTACTAAGAAACATGACTTTTAAGAATTTATCAAATTAATAACAAGTATTGACACATTCTCAACAAGTAGCCCTAGAGTCTCCAAAAAATTCACATCCTTATAGATCAAAAATTTATTTGGCATGATATTATGGGCCATGCTAGAAAATATCAGAATCTTTCTGGATACTTAAGAATAGATTTGTGTATGACTACTGCTAACTTCTGTGTAATTCTGGTTTTATTCGTTGTTTGTAAAGTGTATTCTACCACATTTGCATTGATAAATATAAATAGTGAACTGGACCTCAACTAGAAGTTCAATTTAAAATCATGCAAGAGATTAAAAAAACAAAAACAAAAAAACAACAACAAAAACCCAGCATAACCCAAAAGTCAACTGACAAAGTGGGAAAATAAATTGCAACATATCACAGACAAAAGGTAGCAGGCTTGATTGAGAGTTAATAATTCAAACACCAACTCTCCCCTACCTCTCCCCAAATGGGCAAAAGATATTTATCCAGATCACTCAAAAAAAAGGGGGGTGAGGGGGTGGCAGGTGTGGGGGACAAGTAGTCCACAAATATATAAAAAGATACTCAATGGTTTCTTAGTTGGAAATTTAGCAAATCTCTGTTATTTCTTGAGTTTGGGGAACAGTATCTTTAAAAACAGGACTAGAAATTAACTGTTTGAAAATTAGCATTGCTTGAAATTAAAAATGCCTTCATAAGAAAAATTCTAAATCCTTTTTTCCCCAGAATAGAGTAGGCTGGTGCTCAAAGTGATTAACAAATATCTGATGCCTGTGCCTTTGAATTGTTAGAAATCTGTGAGATATTTTTTAAACATACTAACCATGTTAAACCATATTGCCTAACGTAATTGCATTACTGAGCAATTCTGTTAACTTCTTGCCCCACATTTTTCATCTGAAAAGCAGCAACTGAAACAATCACTCTCCAAAGCTATTTCTAATGCTCATCTAACTTTTTTTGGCTTCTTTGTACAGTTAGATGTGAGTTGTCAGTTAGTTTAAGACTGTAATACTTAAGTGAAATTTTCTGTCTCTGCCATTAAAATAAGAAATAAAAGATTTTAATATTGAAACTCTACTTATGAAATATGGTTTCCAATTTATCTACTTTTTAGAGCCTTCAACGCAAAGAGGAAACGAAATGAATGTGTTCCTCCTGAGAAGTGCCCTCCTGCCTGTATTTGACTGGCTTCAGAATACCTGCTTTGGGTGTGGCATACGCAGTAATGCTCTTGCTGGTCACAGCTCCTGGCCCGCAGGTCTTACCAGGTGCAAATAGAGGTGGCCTAGCTCCCAGGGACACCACCACCAACAAAAGATGGTGTATCCTCTGTGTAGCCTTCTCTTCCAGGTTTTCATAAACACCTAACGTGGAATTCACCAGGACAGTGGAAGGCGTTTCCTGAGAGCATTCACAGGTCCATTCATGCTGCTACCCCCCCTCTGAAAAGCATCATGTAAAATATACTAATTTAGGAGGCAAAGGATCAGCTAACATTTTATTTTAAAGAAGCTGGCCTCTGGTAATGACATCGCCACATACCAACTACATCGTAACTCCATTCAGAAAGCCTTAGAAGAGATGTACCTCACAGCTCAAAACCTGGGTGTTCCTGCATGTTCCCCATTCTCTTCTCTTTTTCTCTTTGGCAGTTTGACAAAATCTTTAGGGGGGTTGGAGGAACCACCAGTGTTTACTCCCCTGCTGATTTATATCTGATCTAAAATGATCGACGATGGGAAGCAGTTTGATGGGAACAGGATTTTTTTTAATCTGTGCCATCACGGAGTACCTAGATTTAATAATCCAAGATATTTCAGTGTTTATTTTATACGGCACCTCCACACTTAGTGTCTTACATGCTCTGCCAAGAATCCAAATATTAGCTACCTTGGTCTGAGAGGCAGTGGGAACTCCATGGTTTGTTGAACCCAGAAAGTCTTCAGCACATCTTAGATGCAGAATTATTTAAATACATATAAAATTTTGTACTTACAGACGAAGCGTTTGAGGTTTGTACTAGGAGCTTGCATTTCCTCACCATCCTTTCATTCCTTAACCTGGTGCAATACAGGTTCTACCCTCACCATTGTAGGAACAAAATAGATGTTGATGTACATGTTGGATTGTTAAAAAAAATTTTCTTTATCTGATTAAAATGTAACATACGGTCAGTCAATATAGAAAACTGAATATCACAAAGAAAATTAAATATAATTGGGTATATTTCCAATGAATCTTAGAGATTATGCTGTCAAGCACTCAATGAGGGGACATTAGCCTCTGTTTCAAAGCCAGACTCCTCGGCCTCTATCAGAGTACAGTGGTGCCTCTGTTTTCTGAAATGTTCGAAAACTGAGGGATCCACAGCCCACAGCTAGGCCTCGGGGTCTTGCACTCAGCAGAAGCCATGTGGCATGTTCGACTTCCGAGGCGGGTTCGAAAACCGAAGCATTTACTTCTGGGTTTACGGCGTTCGTAAACCAAAATGTTTGTCCACGGAGACGTTCAAAAACCAAGACGCCACTGTATCCAACTCCAGTTCCCCTTGAGGTGGCCTGGTGCAGGTTCAGGTTGGGTACAGCCTGCCGCCTTTTCTACAGGAACAGCTTCAGCTGCCCTGAGATCAGCGGGATTCAATTTCTTTTTCCTGTCTAAGTGCTCTGGCGAGGCCTTCCAGCACCGTTAAATGACAGCGGTAAGCGTGGGCATCCGGTCTTGTTCCTGATCTCCGAGAAGAGGTATCAGTTTTTATACCACTGAGTATGATGTTAGCTAAAGTTTGCCATATATGGCCCTTATTATGTTGACGTGTTTTCCTACTGTATCCATTTTATTGTGTTTTTTAAATCATAAATGGATATCTCTTATCAGATGCTTCTTATGCATCTGGTGATGTGATCATATGACTTTTTATCTTTTATTTTGTTAATGTGCTATATATCACATTGATTGATTTGTGAATATTGAATCATCCTTGTGTCCTGGAATGAACCTCACATGTTCATGATGTATGATTATTTTAATGTACTATTGTATTTGACTTGCAGTATTTTATTTATAATTTTTTATCTATGTTCATCAGAGATATTGGCTTTTTTTTTGCATTTTCCTTGCCTGGTTTTGATATCGGGGTAACATTGGCCTCAGAAAATGAGTTCAGAACCATTCCCTCCTCATCAATTTTTTAGAAGCGGCTGAGAAGAACTGGTATTAAATCTTCTTTGAATGTTTGGTAGAATTCACCAGTGAATCCATTTGTCTTTGGACTTTTGGTTTTTTGATAGCTATTTCAATTTCCTCACTAATGATCAGTCATATTAAGGTTTTCCAGATCTTCATGATTCAGTGTAGGAAAGTTGTATACTTCTAAGAATTTGTCTATTTCTTTTAGGTTTTTAAGTTAGGTGGCATATAGCCTTTATTAGTATTCTTGTATAATCCTTTGTATTTCTGTGGCATCTGTTGTAAATTCTCCTCTTTCATTTATGATCTTCTGTATTTGTATCTTCCCTGTCTTTTTCTTAGTGAGTCCAGCCAGCGCTTTGTCCATTTTGTTTATCTTTTCAGAGAACCAGCACTTTGTTTCATTAATTTTTTCTATTATCTTTTCTCTATTTTATTTATTTCCACTCTGATTTTTATTCTTTCCTTCCTTCTAAGTAATTTAGGCTTAACTTGTTCTTTTTTTTTTCTAGTTCTTTACAGTATGTTAAACTTTTTATTAGAAATGTTTTTTATTTCTTGAGGTAGGCCTGTAATGCTATAAAATTTCATTTTAGTAGCACTTTTTCTGTATCCCCCAAATTTTAATTTGTCCTATTTTCATTTGTCTCTCTTTTGAGTTCTTATTTCTTCTTTGACCCAAAAGTTGTTCAGTATCATGTTGTTTAATGTCCACATATCTGTTGTTTTTCCAGCATTCTTCTTTTAGTTAATTTTCAGTATCATATCTCTGTGATTAGAAAATTTGCTTAGCATGATTTCAGTCTTTTTACCTTTATTGAGACTAGTTTTCTTTCCCAACATATAGGCTATCCTTGAGAATGTTCCATGTGTACTTTAGAAGAATGCATATCCTGTTTTTTGAGATAGAAAGTTCTATTAACATCAATTAAGTCTATTTGGTCTAATGTGTCATGTAAGGTCAATATTTCCTTATTGACTTTCTGTCTGGATGATCTACCCATTGCTGTCAGGTTTCCTACTATTGCATTAGTTTTTCCCTTCGGGTTAGTGATTTGCTTTATATATTTTGGTGCTCCCAGGTTGGGTGCATATATAGCAATAAGTGTTATGTCTTCTTGATTTTTTCCTTTATCATTATAAAATGTCCATTTTTGTCTCTCTTTTGCTTTTTATTTTGAAGTGTTTTGTCTGACT